TATAAAACTAAAAGTGTACCCTTTTGGGGGCTTATGAGTTCAGCAACTAAGAACCGGCTCCGAAAGTTGAGATTTGAGGGCTCAAGGCATAAAGTTAGGTGCATAGCGCCGGGTCTAGCCCGTTAGCAACGTGGGTTTGAACTTCGAACTAGGTCTATGGGTCTTTCCGTGCAGATTGCATGTTTCTGGCATTGTTGTTGCCATGTTTGTTGCTGTTGCTTGCTGTCCCTTGTTGTTTTTTCCCTGTGTTGCAATGACTGTGTTTGGGCTGGGCATCCTGGTAGCAGAATGTGGCGTTATTCACGCAGTAGTGACAAGCTTAACCTACATTAGTACTTTTTCGTATGTTGTCATTATAGCCCTATTCTGGAGTGTATCTAGGACCCAGAGTAAGCCCTTATTCCCTTTTTTAAGGGTTCAGGTTCCCTTATAACCCCCTTTAAACCAAAAAGGGCACCCTTTCTATTCCTAGCTTACTCTTGGGTCTAGGTATAGGGACCATAGAAAAGTTAGGTTTTGGCAGTTCAAGGCAGGGTTCAGGGAGGTCTAGCAGGGCTTTGAACCTGGCCTGATATCGCTAAGCCCCGATAACAGTCAAGCCGAAAGTCCTGAATCGCCGACCCCGAGGCCCTTCGACGGTTTAGGGGTTTCGGGTTTAGGGGTTTCGGGTTTGGGGCGGAGGGTCTCGGCTTTCCCTGCAAGGGTCCACGAGCCTTAGTACGAAGATTCTCAAGAACGCTGCCGCCGGAAATAGGGGCAGTGACAAGAGGAATACTGCGTTGGGCCAAAACAGTGGGTACATCGTAATATACCTTTTCAGATGCTCTAAGGCTAGACCATGACTAACCCTTCAAGCCTCTACAAACCTCGATCTTGCTAGGATCCTAGAACCCTACATCCATATACCTTGAACCCCTAAACCCTAATCCCCTTGACCCGTAAACCCTAAGCCAACCCCAGAAAGCACCCTGAATGGAAGCCTAATCCTCTTCAAGTGTGAATTTATGCTCACGTGCTGAGCACTTGTCAGACTTAGCGCCTCAAGCTGTAGAGCTTCGGGTTAAAGGCTTGTGGGGTTTACAGTAGAAGCCCAAAAGTTGGAAACCCAATAGCCTAAGTCCTTAAGAGTAATATATGGGGAATCCCAGCACTATTTGGCCTTAATCCGGTTTCCAACTTTATGGGGTTTGCTCTAGGGTCTTCAAGTCTCTTGAAGGTGTGGGCACGTCGCCAGGCAGGAAGCAGCTTGGCTTGAATACGGCTCACTAGGTCACTAGGTTGTTAGATCATCTTTTTAGACCTTGCTACATCAATCTTCCGAGGCCCTGAGTGGGGATCCCCAGTCCCTGTTGCCCTTCATCTCTGCAAGCCATCATGCACCTGCTTCATGTCCCATGTAATTGGTGTGGAGTTTGGTCGTTGTTTTTTAGTAAGCTTTCGGCAAGTAGTCGCCTAACAAGACCCTCACAAGACCCAACAAGGCAATCATACATTCCACATAGCTCAACGCCGTAGACGCGGCCTTGAGCGTTTCATCGTATAGCCGTGGGCTTGAAGTGCTTATTCGGAAGTCGGGAGCCTCATTGCGCCACGAAAAAAGACTCGGGTCGATTGCAGGGGTCTGAATTCTCAGGATTAATTGACGGTATACTTCAGGGTGTTTAGTAACAGTCCACTGATAATTATAAGCAATATTCTTATTATCATAAGTTATACTATTATGGAGGGCCCCAATACCCTAGCCTAATACATATGGCCCCTGTGAGCCAATATTATGAGATGTCCTAAACAGAGGCAAGTAGCCATCGTTTGCTTGCGCTGCAAGTTGCGCAGAATATTGTTCGGGACCCAAAAAGCACATAAGCATAAGCTTTTTATAGGGATATCCCTACCTTAATGGGCTTCATTATAAGGGGGGTTTATATGGGATATCCCTATCCTATTTTTTGCTTATGTGCTTTTTTGGGGCCCTATATTGGCTTTGTCAGTGCACATGTGCTAGCAATGCTGCCTACGTTCAAGGCCTAGGGCCCCAGGGCTCTTGTATTGCTTCAAAGATTGGGGGTAGAGGCCACGAAGTTTGGCTGCAAGCTAGGGCGGTTGATGTGCAGGGTTCAGCAGGTTAGGCTGCATGCAGGGTTCAGCCAGTTAGGCTTTAAGGTTTCGGGTAAGGGGCTATACAGTGACCTTCAGATGACCGCGGGTGCATGAGACAAGCCCTGTGGACAGATACGGGTCACACACCAACTGCTCCCCCTGGCTCCAAGAACCCAGCGTGCCGAAGATCTCGCACGCTGGAGATACGGCCGCGGGACAGGCTGACATTAACCTGAATAAACTGTACATGTGACAGCCTTATTATCCAGAAGCCTGACAGATTCCCCATACTATTCCTGAATCGTTATACTTACCACTATAATGAGCCCTAAGAGCCTGCTCCAATCATTTACGGCTCCTGCCTATCACGTAATTCCTACGAAGCCCTCAAGCTTATTCTCTAAATAGACAGGCGCCAGTTGTGTTTTGGGTTTAGGATCATGGTGATGTAGGTCACCTACCGGCCTAACCAGAAGTCCTAAGGAAATCTAAACCCTAAGCCCTATTCTAAAAGTTCAGGCCCCTGTGCGCCTGTGTGAGCTGTGTCCTAAGCAAAAGCAAGTAGTGTTCATGGTTGCCCGTATTGGCTTTGTCAGTGCACACGTGCTAGCACGACATGTTGCCTGCGATTGGGGCTTAGGTAGAGGCCATGAAGTTTGGCTGCAAGTTAGGGCGGTTAATGTGCCGGGTGCAGCAAGTTAGGCTTTAGGGTTTCGGGTTGAGGGCCTACTGTGACCTTCAGATGACCGCGGGTGCATGAGACAAGCCCTGTGGACAGATACGGGTCACACACCAACTGCCCCCCCTGGCTCCAAGAACCCAGCGTGCCGAAGATAACGCACGCTGGAGATACGGCCATGGGACAGACTAATGTCAACTTGATTAGACTGTACATGTGACAGCCTTACTATCCAGAAGCCTGACAGATTCCCCATAATTACTGTTCCTGATCGTTATACTTACCACTATAATGAGCCCAAGAGCCTGCTCCAATTTTTTTACGGCCTCTACCGACAGACCCCATTGAAAATAGTTGGGGTGGTTCGAGCGGGACTACATGATGACGCAAGCGCCCCACACGTGCGCGCGCCCATTCCGAAAGAAGCGCACCCAAGGCACGCACGCACACTGTCTAACTATATGCACCCTAAAACCATAAACCCTAAACCCTGACCCTAAACACCATGAAGACTAGAAACCCTAAACCCTACAAACGTTAAAGCCCCTAAACCTTACACACCATGTCAAGCCGTGAACTGCCACAAGGTGAGGATGTCTCGGCAGCCCGCCTTTTCGCGAAGCGCAAGGACTGGCACGGTGACCTCCGTGTTCATCGGAGATGAGATATGTCCTTGTCCTTTTAAAGGAGCAGGAGTTGCGGGTTTCTGATATGAAGTTAAGAGGAACTGTTTCACGAATCTGCTGTCGGTGCGATTCCTCCTGAACTTGCAACGAACGTTCTGTGATCCTAAAGAGGGCCTTTAGCGCTGGGTTTATTTCCTGTAGTCTCCATTGTAGTTCCATTAGGGTTACCCAAGTTTATGGTTAGTATCCTATACAATCTAGTTTTTGGTGAGCCAAGAAAGGAGCTTCAATGCAGACTATAGGTAGTTCGCGCACACCACAACCCGATCAATAGCCTTTCTAGCAGTGACCCCTAGGTAGCCTGTTGCATTAGACTATATATACAGTTTCTTCGTCTCATAGGTACGTGCAGTGGAAAATGAAAGGGTTCAAGTTATGGTTTGAGTTTTCGAGTTTGGGTTTCTAGTTCCAGCCCGTGTTTGAAATTCGTTCTTTCCAGTGGCCTACTTCCTGGGACCCCTTTATGAACCCCAAACCTTAAACTTTAAGGGTTCAGGGTTTCAGATTTTTGCTTGAAGGCTTCAAGAACCCTATGGATCTCTAATCCATTGCCCAAAACCAGAGCAATTAATCCCGACCTAAACCCTGCAAAGTAGGTAAACTAATGTCCCAATACCCATAAAAGGGTCTTATTCTACATACTTTTGGGGTCCAGGTATACACCTCCTAGGGCAAGCCAAGATCCGAGTCTTCCAAGTCTCGTCTTGCAGAAAAGTGTTTAGTCGACGTAGACGAGAGATAAAGTATCAAACAGTTTGATACACATACTTGTGGAACTATGCAGATAGAATCTTCTGGTAGACACAGGCCTTGATTTGTATACGGATGTGCAGTTCTTTAATGTAGGGTCCTTTCTCCGGTCCCCAATACAGCACTGCGCCCTTATGAAAAGGGGCCAACATTTAGAGAACTACGCATGTACCAGGTATATAGAGTTCAGCGTCCCGGGGTTGGATTCGGAGCTAAACGTTTATATGGGCCCCTACAACAGTTTAACGCCAGTTTAATCCTAAGCTTTAAACCCGGAACGGTAAACCCTAAACCTTTAAACCCTTAAAGCCCGTTGGCCCTTGATGACACCGTTTAGAGTTTAAAGCCTGAAACCCTAAACCCTTAAGCCCTAAGCCTTAGCTGCTCCAGCACGAGGATGGAGAGCACTGCTGGAGTGACGCACCTGGTCCAACATCAGTGGCTTAGGACCCAGACCTTCCAAAATCCCTTAATTAAGGAATATACCTTAAATCATAGCAGGATCCCTAATATGAAACCCTAAACCCTAAACCCGCTACGGCTCAAGCCTTGGCTCAAGCTGGCTACGGCTCAAGGCCGTTACTGCTCAGAGGATCCTCGCGTGCCGCATGCACTTGTTCCTGACGATTCGGCGCTCGGGCAACAAGCTCCCTGGCTGAACCTGCTCTTCTTGGAAGCGCTCCCGTGGGGTGTTCTTCTTCTCTCCCCTTGACTCGATTCACCTGTTCTTGTTCGCTGGCCCTCTTCTTGTTTTACACGATTCCGCCCTGCATCATCTTTGCTGAAGGATGCCTCCCGCTACTCGGGGAAGTCCTACTGAAGTTGCTGATGATAGTGATGATGATCTCAACTCCTTGAAAGATGAACCAACAGGCCAAGAGAACTCTGATGGAGGCAGAGGTGGGACCAATGGGGCAATGGCCGTCGATGCTACTGGTGGCAGTCCGGGGCGTGGCAAGCGTGCTCGGGAACCTAATGCTTCTCGAGCATCTGATCGCGATCATCGAGGTCGGGCTCCTACAGCGCCTAATGCTGCCCCTGGCACTGGGGTGGGGGCACGAGCTTTCTCTCCTGGAGGAGATGCTCCAGTGACCTCTCGTGAGTTTCGTGAACTACTCAATGCTCACCTTCATGCTATGACTATGTCCTGGCAGGAGATGAATGATCGGGTTGGTGGCGTGGAGGCTGAAGTTTCGTCATCCAAGCAAGATCGTGCTGTTCTTCACTCTCGCATTACCCAAGTTGAACGAAAGGAGGCTGACATGCATGTCAAAGTGAATGACCTTGCTCGCTCTGTGGAACAACTTCGAGAAGCTTATGCAAAGGATGCCAATGGCAATGGGGGTGGCAATGGTGGTCCGCCTTCTGATCCATGGGCTGAATATCAGGCCAAGCGTGGCCAAGGCTCTGGTCCTCCCGTCCCTCCTCCTGGTGGCGGTCGTGGAGATGCAGTTGGTGGTCTTCAGGGACGTGAGGAACTAAGTGAAGATGACAAGCGCACGCTGATTGTTGGCGGATGGAACCAGGACTCCCGTCGTCAGACGATCATTGAAGAGGCTTCCTCTTTCCTTGCCAGGGATGGGGTGAAGGATGATGTGGACCAGTCTGATCTCACTGTATGGGGTCCCCGTCGATCCTTTGGGGTGCTCAAGTTCAAGGAGAGAGCTGGTGAAGGGATGCGCGAAGTTCGTGATAGGATGTGGAGGGTGATCCAGAATTTGAGAGCCACACCTTGTCGACTCCCGTCTACTGCTGGGGCGGATGGGGTGCAAAAGAGCATGTGGGCTGCATTCACGAAGACCAAGGAGGCTCGTCGCCGTGGGGCCCACGCTTCAATGCTGAGGAGAGTCACGGCCACACTTGCTCGGGATGCCCGTCTCAATAAAGATGCCCACAACCCTGCTGCTGTTGAGGATGGGGCGTTTGACATGGATTGGAACTCAGGATCCGTCTGGCTGGGTGAGCACAAGCTTGGCTCCTCTGCCCACCGCACCCCCCGGGGTGAGAGCATTAAGTTGTTGACTAGTGGATGGGTCGACGTGATGGCGGTTGCGAGTGCATCGGGGGTGACCTTCGACTCTGCCCTGGCGGCAGTTGAACGTGAGCTGTGACCGAAGAGGAGCTGTTGTTTCACTGATAGCCTTGGCGCTGAACCTTCACTTAGTGAAGGCGTGGACGATAATCGTTGTCCGGCGCCTCCCTTGCGTACCTTTTCATCATCGGGGAGTACAACAAGTATTTCCCGTCGTTTGGCATCTTGGAATGTGGGTGGTCAAAGTCTTACCAAAATTGATGCGATTGGTGGCTCCATGGATGTGCTCTCAATACAAGAAATGCCACGAAGTGGGGTTGGTTGGGATGAGCACACTACCGACTGTTTCACATGGCTCTCGTACCAGGGACCCAGTCAGTGGCGAGGTGTTGCCATTGCTGTTGCCCACGACCTCTATGACGCCTACACCGACCGTATCTCCTTCGACCGTGGGGCAGCTTGGGTCGTGCGATTGAAAGATTGCAGAAGGGTGATTCTTGGCTCCTTACACTTGCCGACTGGGGTGCCCACACGTGTTTATCATGCAGCTGTGCAAGAATTTCGTCATGCTCTTCTCCGTTGGCATCCTGATCTGCCTTGCTTTGTCGGGGTTGATGTCAATGAGGTTGTTGAGTGGTCGCACGCTTCGGAGGGTGAAAACACTGATGGAATCATTCCGCTCCGTGCAGGGGCGAAACTTGACAAATTCCTTGAAGCCATCGGTGACCTGAGAATGAAGCCGATTGCCCCTCAATTTGAAGATCGTTGGTCCCCTACACACTTCCCACGTGATGAGTCGCGAGAGGGGCGTCACATTGATGTCATCCTTTGCAGGCAGCTTGTGTGCTCTCATGTTCAAGTTAACTCCGAAGTTCGGTACCACATTAACACAGACCATGCTCGTCTTGAGTGTTGCTGCGAAATGGGGCGAACTCGGTTGAAGAAATGGACTGACACCAGACCAAGGTGGATTCCGCCTGGGACGTGCATTCCGTGTCCTGCCGACTGGAATGACATCAAGGAGATTGCCAAGAGTTGTTCTCATCCTCGAGCCAAAAAGCGGTACGTTGATCCTCCTGAAGTTCGTGATGCCTGTACCCGTGCTCGCGGCCTACGTGGGGACGCCAGCAAAGCAGCTTGGAGGGATGTCCATCAGCTTCGTCGAAGGAGTCGCCGTGCGTGGCAACAGAGCCGGACGGCACGTATCTTGCATGGTGACTGGTTTGCGTATCGTGACCATCAGGCCGAAAAGAAAAAGAGATGTTGGTGGGGCGCGATGCTTCGGGACAAGACTTCAGCGCATGTCGCTTGTGACGTTCAGGGACATCTCGCAGGTAAAGTCTGGGATGAGCACTTGTCGTGGCATGCTGAACTCTGTGAGAAGGTGCAGGACATCCATTGTGACCTGTCTCAATATATGCCCATTCAAGCTGAGGAGGTGGCCAAATCATTGTCTTCCATGAGGGCGCGCTCTTCGCTTGGACCGGATGGGGTGAGTGTCGATGTGCTGCGGAAAATCCTTGAGGCCCACCCTGACCGGCTCTGTGCCTTGCTTGATGAGGTGCTGCGCGATGGTGTTCTGCCAGAGGAGTGGGGTGAGTCCCTTCTTGCTCTCCTTCCCAAAACAGTTGAACCCAAAACTGCACGAGAATTACGACCTATTGCTATGTCTTGTTCCAGCATGAAGTTGCTCTCGAAAATTGTCATGGGGCGTAGCTTTCAGGCCTTGCGTGATCCTGCTCCGTGGTCGGCCTGTGGTTGTGGGCGTAGTACTGCTGATATGCATGCTGTCATGGGTCGCCTACGAGATATGTGCCACGAGTGGAGAGCCGGCGTCATTGTTGCTAAGCTTGATGTCGAAGGGGCGTTTGACTTTGTCAGTCGCCGTGCAGTTGCTGATTACATCGGGAAGAGGCTGTGTTCGAAGAATGTGCCCTTTGAATGGAGATTCCTCCTTCTTCTACTTGATGATAATGTTCTTCAAGGCACTGCTCCTGGGGGTGGTTCAGTTCGTGTCCATTGCAATCGAGGGATAAGGCAAGGAAGCCCTGAAAGCGCCGAACTCTTTGGGTTGCTGATTTCTGATGTCATCAACCGCTTAAAGGACGGTGGACAATGGCGGGAACCAACAGGGGCGCTCAAGGACTTGCCCGCTGACGTTGGGACGTACCAGGATGATATCTTTGTTTGGACAAACACGGCGGAGATCCTGCAGAAAAACATTGCTGCAATCTCAGCCGAATTGAAGAAGATTGGTCTTCGCCTTGCTGCCAGTAAGACGTCCATTTGCACTTCCAAGTACTACAAGGGGCGACGCCAAGTTCTTGTTGACGAGGTGCCTGTCCAAGTCCTTGAGAATGATGGGGCGATTAGGGTTCTTGGCCTTGACTATAATCTTAGTGCTCCTGCCAGTCAACAAGCTCGCGAACTGCATGGACGTGTCTGGAGTGCATTCCACGAGCACAAGGATCTTCTCTGTGGGCCTGGATCCTGGAGAGAGAAACATAGGCTCATCCAATCCCTGGTTGAAGGGGCGTGGAGCTGGGTTGCTGGCGCTGTTCATTGGGAAGTCTCGGACCTTCAGATGATGAATTCCACCCAGCTTCGAGTCCTCAGACTTGCCTTTGGCATTCGTCGAGGTAAAGGCGAAGACTGGATCACGTACAACACGCGATCCCTTCGCAGTGTGCGCCTTTGGGTCGCGACAACTGGAATCGAGAGATGGAGCACCAAAATAAGGCGCTTGCAATTTCAGTTGGCAGGTCATTGGATGCGACAGTGGGAAGGGTGTCATCGTGGGCTTGCGGGGCGCATGCTGCTTTGGAGACGTCTGGGGTGGTGGAACCATGAGAAGAGTCTGTCTACTGGGATTCGTCATCCTCGTCGCTTTCGTGCTGCTAACTTTGAGAGGTCACTTGCTACTTGTCTTGGGGATGAATGGTTTGAAGCATGTCATGCACGTGAAGCATGGAAACAACTACTGTGTAAATGGCTGGCTGACACTGATGTTCTGTGGAGCAGGGGGCGTCAGCTTGCACTCACTCTGTGACATGGTGAAGAAGACACACGTTATCACATGAGTTCCTATGAAGCTTGCATGGCTGAGTCCAACAACTCGGTGATCCTGTGTGCCGCTGCCTTTGTTGCCTCAATTGTGCTCTGTGACCTTATTGTCTCTGACTTGGACACTTTTGCCAAACCACTTCTACGTCAACTTGTCTTCAGATCTTAGGTGACCTCACTTGCCATGGCGGCCGCTATCCTTCTACGTGGACGCCTTCTCTTCATCATGCTCCTCGCCTTCCTTGCCTACTACTTCAACTGTGGTGGGGCAGTGCCTGTTGGCCGTGGGGAGACGAACCGATGGAATAGCAACAGCAACAACAACAACCTGGGTCAACCTGCTGAACCTGCTCGTGCTGGATGGTATGACTGGACCTCGTCGACTGGAACCCCGACTGGTGTCGATTATTACCATGATTGGACATCATGGACTCCCTCTTCTGGGTGGTCTGCTTCGTATGTGTCTGGAAACTCGCAGGATCCTGCTCGTGATGGGTGGTATGGCTGGTCTTCTTCGAGTGGGACGTCGTCTTCCAGTGATGGTGGTTACAACAACAACTACAACAACAACAACGACTGGGTGCAAAGGGACGCTGAGCCTTGGTCTGGCCCTGAGTGGGAATCGTGGACGTCGTGGACGAGCTGGAGTACGTGGTCAAGCTGGTCTTGGTCTTCGGAGTGGCAACCATCCTCTTCGGCATCTTCTTCTTCGTGGGATGGTGAAGGACAAGACTATGAACAAAGGGGTGTGCCTCCTTCTTCTGGTGATGCAGGCCCAGCGGGGCGACCTTCTGGCTTCTTCCGACATGGGGTGTTCCAAGATCGCCCTCGTACCGATGAGGAACAACGATTCCATACAGGAGGTCAAGGAGTTCAACGCCAAAGCCGTCGACAGGAACGAGTACGACAATGGAAAGCTGGGGAGTTTATCCCAGCCTGGCGCCGTCACATGGAGGCGTCTGGCCACAGAATGACTGGGGCGCAGACACTTGATGAGTTCCGCCGTGTGTTCGCCAATGAAGCAAACGCAGATGCGGAACTTCGCTCTCGCACGCAAGCCTCTGCTGTGGGCACGTCTTCTGTGGGACGATCCTCTACACCTCTTGCACCGTTAGTGGAAGAGGATGTTAGTGATGATCATGCATCGTCCTCGGCTAGTACGGTTTCCAGTTGGACTCGTGAAGACCATGACGGAAATGATGGAAATCTACCTCTCCGGGGTGATGCACCTCCTGTTCAACCTGATGATGCCCAAGATGACCGTGATCAAGCCCTTCCTGCTGATGATCTACCTCGTCGTCCTCGTCGGTGGGATGCCAGTTCGTCGAGACAATCTGAGGAAGCACAACACTCTGCTCGTCCTGCTCCTAGATGGACACGGGATGAATGGAATGCCTGGGAGAACTGGGAGGATGAACATGGCAATGATGATGATGGTGACAGGGTTGACCTCATGCAACGCAATGGCCCACTTCTTCCTGGGGGTGCACCTGCTGATCAACCTCCTCGTGCTGTTCCTGCTGGAGGTGACCAACAACAACAACAACAACAACCACAAGTACCGGGTGCTGCTGCTGCTCTTCCTCCTGGTGGCAATGCACAGGGGCGGCCAACTTTGGAACTGTCGATGGGCGAGTCCCAGTCCCTCTACGACGCGGGGTGGCCTATGCAGAGTATTGACCACATTCGAGAGTTTTGCGCATATCTGGAATGGGTCGCCCAACAATATGGCCCTGGTGCAGCTGCTTGGGGCCTCGACGCCTGGGCTGACTCGCTGGTGGTCGCTAACGCCACGGTGGAACTTGCGCAAGAAACACTGTGGCAACGACTTCGGGATGTACCTGTGCAAAGACCCCTGGAAGACGGTGTAAGGGGGCGTATTGCCGTTGGTTTTGCTGGTCTACAACGTCAACTCAGCGACTTCCACCTCACCATGGTCCAGGATGGTTTACGTGACCAGTGGTTGCCAACGCGAATTGACCATGATGGACGTCAGCTTCCGGAACCTCCCTTTATTCGGGGCGATGTGAATGCTTGGATCCTTGAACGTGCCCGCGCTCTGGCTCGTAACATGGTTCAGGAAGCGATCGCACGTGGAGCCCTTGTTCGACGTGAGAACACAGACAGTGGGGGTGCTCATGTTCAAATTCCTGCTGCCCCTTCTGCCGATAATGGGGCGCATTCGCCAGTCGGGCCCAGGGCTGAACCTCACGCACATGGAGATGATGTTGCTGTCCCTCCTGGAGATCATGATGGGGACGACGTAAGCGATGATGGGGACGAAACTGGCTTGATGCAAACTACACCTGCAGAAGAAGCTCGCATGGATGGGGTGGGACTGCAGACGGAAACACGACGTCTTCTTCGGGACCTTCTTCGCTCTTTGGATAACATCCAACAGCGAGGGGAAGGACCTGAGTACCGTTGGGGTGTTAATGCTGTTGTGGCAAGTTGGGATGATGCCCTTCGCAGCACCTCTGTGTTACGAGATATCTTGGCTCGCAGAACGACTGTGCTGGGGTGCCAACCTTATTTTCCGGCACAAAGAGAACCTCCGTATGGGCCATTACGTGCACGAGTTGGGGCGTATATGCAAGAGTTTCGTTATGTTCTCCTTCGATGCCTTGCCGAAGAAATGCAGTTGGAACTACAAGATGCACTACGGGGTGGCACTGGGGCTCCTGGGACGCTTGATGCATCACATGTTGAAGTCTCAACGGTTATGCGGAGTGGAAGAAACACTCGTCCTCCTCGACCTCGTCCACCGCGTGGGTCGCGTAGTCGTTCTCGTGCTCGGGATGGAACTACGACAACGGTTGGGGATGTGGTTCATCATGGCCCACCTGGTTTGCCTGGCTCCTCCACGGACGATGTTGGTGCTGCTATGGGGCGGAGCGAACAACCTCGTCTACTCGCCGATCCTGTCGAAGTTCTACCTGGAGCCACCACTGGCGTTACGGTTGGTGGCGTGGTTCAGCATGACCGACCTGGTCTCCCTGGCTCCTCCACGGACGTTGTTGGTGATGGTATGGGGTCTGCTGAAGTACCTTCGACAGCAAACCCTGTTGAACCTCTACCTGCTGGCGACGTGGATTTGCCTATTCTACACCGCGCATCTGATGAGCCTCTTCGAGAACAACGACCTGTTCCTGCTGGACGTGATGATCTTGGTGATGGCACTATGGGGCGGCCAGTTCTACCTCCTGCTGTGGACGATCCTCTTCATGTTCCTCCCGTTGTTTCGTCGCAACCTTCACCTGATCTGCCTTCTCTCCCCAGACTTGATGCAGCCTCTGGTGATCGACTCAGTGCGTCTTCGTTCGGACCTGAACCTCTTGGAGTTGAACCTGTACCTTCTTCTGCTGAGGGGTGTGTGAATGAGGCAAGTGATGGGCCACTTCTTGTTCCGGGGAGTGCTATGCCTCCAGAGAATGTTGCTGCAGTGTCAACACCTGTGAGTGTAGTTCCTTCTGATGAGGGGTGTTTGTCGGCCCCTTTGAATGTTGCTATTGCTTTCAATTTGGAGAATGTTGTATCTGAAGACAGTGTCGCTCCCGAAGGGATGTGAGGTCTTTGTTAATGTTGAATGGTGCAAGCCTGTCAAAAGGCAGGGTCAGCAGGAGAAAAGGCCCACTGCATTTAAAAAAAAAACCCTAAACCCTAAACCCAAAATCCCTTAATAAGGGTTCCTAGAAGGGTCACGCGTTCGAAGGCTTCCATAAGGGATCCAGGTGATGTCTATATGGTCAGGCTTCCATAAAGGCCATAGGGGATGAATCTGATCTCTATAAGACTTCCATGAGGGTTGTACGGGGTTTCTATCAGGCTCTACACGGTCTCTAGAAGTCTGGAAGGCTCCCATGGTCCACGGGCAAAAGGAGGGACCCTTAATAAGGACCCCTAGGTATATACCCTGAATATAGCTATTATATAACCATTATATAGCCCATTATAGGGTAGGGGTCCCCATTAAGGGTCCCTCCTTTTCCCCTTTGACATGAGCTACCTCCAAAGGTTCGCTGTGGGTTGGAGCCTAAGCCTCGCCGTTGATAGCCGAATTTTGTAGGTTGCCAAATGTGGGAGCTTCCGAAAATGGGGCAAACTAATCTAGTACCCTAAATAGTGAGAATTAGGGGTACCATATAGTGGGGTCCTTTTTATAAGGGTCCTACTATTTAAGGTACTATATTAGGGTCCCGTATTTTCGAAATCTCCCATGTTGAGGCTCGATTGTGGCTTAGGGACCAGACTTTCTGGTTGTGAAGGCACCTTCAAAGGAGGGAAGCATTCAGCTTTCATCCTGGTTTTGGTGTCATTTTAGGGCTTAGGATTTAGGGTTACAGTACGTTCATGAAACCTGTTGTTTCTTCCCTGTTTTGGTACAATGTAGATGCTCCTTCGCGATGCAGAGAACAGAGTAAGTCCTCAGCCCTTGACACGTCCGCCAACAGGGCGATTCAGGGACGGTTTGCTAACACCTCGGGCTTATTGGTACGGTCAGGGGTATGTGATTTGTGCTACAAACCCCAAATCCTAAGCCTTAGCCCACTCCGACATCCTAAACCCTGAACCCCCCAAAACCCACTCCAAAATCCTAAACTCCTAAACCCCCCTAAACCCACCCCCCAAAATCCTAAACCCCGTCTAAACCCACTCCAAAATCCTAAACCCCCCTAAACCCACTCCAAAATCCTAAAACCCCAAAGCTCTGCCAGGTTTTTGCTCTCGCTAACGCGCTCTCGCAGTACGAGCAGAAAAAGACTTGGGAATCTCAGTCCAAGTTGCGAAGTTCCCTGGCATTTAAAGGGCTGGGTTTAGAGTTAGAGTAGTCACAAAACGCAAGACCTCTAAACCTCCAAACTCCTGAACCCGTAAACCCTAAACCCTAAAGAAGGTCTAGGGGTTGTTGGGAGCTCGTATGAAGCAGGGTTTATACTAGTCTAGGGCTCCTCAAGAGCACTGGCGGTTGTACATTTCCGGTGCTACTATAGGGTTTTGGGTTCAGGGTTAAGGGCTTAGGATGGAGCACTAGTCATGAAGGAACCTTACATCATATTGGGCTTTGCAGGAGTTGTTGAAGGGCTCTGATTATTTCTCACCCGCTGGATGAAGTATCTCTAGCTGCTTGTTGTTTCTGGGTTGATGCGGCTTTCCAAAACAAGTTGCAGGGTTTCAGGAAACCCTTAAGCCCTGAAGACCTGAACCCTAAAACCTTAAACCCTAAATCCCTAAACCCTAAAATCCTAAACCCTAAAAACCACTAAGAACCCTAAATCCCCTACATAAACCCTAGAGAAGACCCCCGAAGCCCACTAGGAAACCCCCCAGATCCGGATTTCGAAACTCGAACACGCCAAAGCCCTAAAACTCGAAAGCCCTACATCCAGGGATCCGAAACCCTCAGACCCGAAACCCTCAGACCCCGAACCCTCCTTAGGGGCGCCTAAAACCGTATAAAACTCAAACCGAAACCTTAAAGCAACACCTATGCTCTCAGACCCTAAATCCTAAACCTTAAGGTCCCTAAACCCTAAACCTTAAAGTCCCTAAAACCTAAATAGCCCAACAACCGAAACCTAAACCTTAATCGCGGACCCTGAGCCCGGAGATCTTCAGTACAAGGTTTTATGGTTTTGGGCTTTAAGGGTGTAGGGGTGGAGGGTTTCGGGTGTTAGGGTGTTTTTGGGGTTTAGGGTTTGGGGCTTTAAGCTTTTATGGTCTTTGGCTTCAAGGGTTAGGGGTGGAGGGTTTCGGGTTTTAGGGTTTTGGGTTTAGCGTTTGGGGTGTTAAGGTTTTGTGGTCTTTGGAGTTAAGGGTTTAAGGGTCGTACTTGGAGTAAGTAAAGTTATAAGTTATGCGTACCGTAATTGGGGGTATAACCAGGTATCAGTATACTTAAAGTAGGGTTTCGGGTTTTAGGGTTTTGGGCTTAATTTAGGTGTTCGAAGGCACCCAAAAGCAATATCTTTGGGACAAAACCTTCCGATGCCTTGTTTCGGATCCCAAAACCCCTAACCCCACAACCCCAAACCCAGAACGCGAAACTCTATAACTTCAGTTTTTAGAGTAGCCTTTACCGAACCCTTACCGGAGCCGTTTTAGGAACCCAAAGGGTAAGGGTCCTGTCATTTTAGGGAATTTCAGAAAAGTAGGATTTCTGATTTCTGAGACCACAAAGAGACCAAAAAGCTCTCCACGCGAGATCCCAGACCTTCCTACCAAGATACTTGGACCCTCCGGGTAAACCCCAACACCCTAAGCATTAAACCATCAAGTTATAGTAGCCCTTTAGAACCCTAGTCGGAACCCTTAGGGGCACCCTCAAACCCTTAAAGGAGCGCTAAACCTTCAAACTCTTAAAGGAACCCTACCCCCCCCCCCTTTTGATGTTGGCCTTGAAAATCGGCGAGCGAACGCCCGAGGCTTCTGCAAAACCAACGGCTTGATCCAGCCGGTGCTTCAGCATCTTGGATCTTAATGTAGGGGCCTTAACCCCAAGGGTCCAAGTACTTGATGACCATAATCATATACTCTCCAAACTCCAAAATCGTAATTAACCTACATAACTACTGTACTATCCTAAAACCGAGTACCTAATTATTCGATCCTTTGGGCCCCTTGCGTAATAATTACCAATAGTACTATGGGGGGTTCCTTGTTATAATTCTAGTACAATGGTCCCCAAAACCCTATTCTAAGGTACATAAGGGTTTCGTCCAGGGCCCCTGAACTGTCCTTTAATGGAGCCCTTATGATTCTTAATAATGGGTTTTAGGGCATATTAGAAGGGCCCTGATAGCCTGTCAGGGGCCTTAACAGTCTATTAAGGGTTCCGATAAAGGCATGCAGCCTAGGGTATCTAAGCTCGAAGCCCCAAGCCCTACTTAGACCCCCGAACTACAAAAATACCCACTATGGAGTAGGGTTTAGGGTTTAGGGTTTAGGGTTGGAGGACCATGGGGTCTCCATCAAAGGGCCATTACGGGTCCTGATAATCCCCCAAAGCACTAGCGCTCTGCGTCGTTCCTTGTAAACCCCTAAACCAAAGCTCACATGCTGCTTGGAGGATCATGGGACTTAGCAAGTTTTGTGATAAGTACCATAACTGGGGTTATAAGTAGGTATAAGTATAGTTACCCCAATTATTGTATAATCCTAGTTTTTAAGTCCCATGATCCTTTAAGTAAGGCCAACACTCTAGACCCAGAACTCTTCGCGCTGGCATTTCCCTACACCAAAATTCCCGAGCAAGCACGCAACTACAACCCTAAACCCCAACCCTGAACCCCAAACCCCTAAACCCCTAAACCCTAAACCATCCCAAACATGAGGAAAAGAGGGTTCAACAAGAAAAACATCCCAAACCCCCAAACCCTAAACCCCTAAAGCTTAAACCCTAAACCCTAAACCATCCCAAATCCCTATAAATCCTAAACGAAGATCACCAGAGCCCTGTACTCCGAGGCAGCTGGAGAGCGCCAGGAGGCAGCTCAGCAACTCTCTCCGTGACCTTGGTTGTCATTCCGTGCAGGCCCTGATTTAGGGGTTCAGGGTTTAGGGTTCGGGGTTCAGGGTTTAGGGTTTAGAGTTTAGGGCTTAAGGTTTAGAGTTTAGGGTTTAGGGTTTAGATAAGGGTCTTAGGGTCGTAGGGTTTAGGTTCTTAGGGTTTGGGCTTGGAGGTCTTAGGGAGTTTGGGGCCTTAGGGTTTTGTTGAGTCAAGGTCTTATGTTTCAGATTTGCCGTTCCGTCGGGTAGCTGTTTGCGGTTTGGGGTGGCAGTCCTTGGGGTTCAGGGTTTAGGGTTTAGGGGTTTAGGGTTTTAGGGTTTAGGAGCTATAGGGTTGAGGTTTTTCGGGTTTAGGGGTTTGGGGTTTGGGGTTTGGGGTTGATGGTATCCTGCGGCTCCATGTGCCTAAATCGTATATATTTAGGCCTTGGAGGGTTCCTCTATAGGTACTTTAAGGCCAAAGTACTATACTATATAAGCTATGTACGTACACGGAGCCTTAGGGATATAGGTTATCAGGGCCACAGTTAGCCAAACCCTAGACCCTAAAATTGTTTAGGGTCAAAGGTTTAGGTTTAGGGTTTGGGTATAGGGCTTTGGGTAGGAAGAAGGGGTGCCAGGTTGTGGAGCTGTAGGCTTTAGGCTCAGGGATGCCCCAACCTCTAAACCCCTAAACCCTCGGGTTCGCCCCAGTAACAAGAAAAAAAGGCACAGGAGTAACAAAAACCTACCCCTTGGGGGGGGGGGGGTCCGGTAGCATGATTTCCTGACAGAAGTCCAGGGGTTAGGGTTTAGGGTGAAGTCCAGCAAGCAGCACTTGGAGGATCATGGAGGCCCCAAAACCCTTTTCGAAATACTAAGGCCTTTATATTAGGTTCTTTGGGCTTGATGTTGCCAGCCGGCACCTCTGACTCCCTGTGCTCTTTTTCCTGTCTCCTAGCTCTCGTCCTTGTCGCTTCGCCAGCGGGGCTCGCACTTTGACCGCTTCGCCTTCGGGCGGCAAAGGCCCATGTTATTGAGCAGGACACCGTGTAGGCTGAGACGCTTCTCTGCAGACACTTG